CCTTAGAAGGCCATCCATTCCCCCCCCCTGCTGTTTCCATCTTTTTTAGAAAACAGTGGTTGGTGAAAAAATGGAAATAAAGGTCATCTCAGTTGACTAGAGAGCTGAATGGTTTACGTAGAATTTGATTTCCCTCCTGTGCCTCCTGGAAGTAGAACTAACCTGTTTGGCCTCAGATTCCCAGCGTGGTGTAGTAGACAAGAGTGATGGACTAGGCCTCTGGAGAACAAATCCCTTATCAGCCATGGAAACTCACTGGGCGAGTAGAAATGGTAAAGCCATTCCTTAAATATCTCACTTACCTTGAAAGCCCTATTAGGGTTGCTATAATCCATTCCAACTTGATGGCACAGAACACACTAATCAGTGTGTTGACAGAAGTCAACTCAACTAATCATATTCTGACTTCAACTAATGAACTTTGTTTTAGTATTAATACAAAACCAAAGGAGTTTCATTCCTTGCCCTCTGTAGTTCATAGTGATTTTAGACTTTTTAGAACAGATCTGTGTTCTCTGGTATTTTGCTAATACCGCTAGCCATGAATGAAGTGTACAGACACAAGAAATATGAAAATGAGTCAATGCTGCCACCCGGTGTTCCTTTTGAGAACTGCAAACCTGTCTAGGCGATATTTTAATCTTTTGGATTGTTCTGCTTTTTTTGTGTTTGAAGGGCAGTGTTGTGTGAGATGTCCACCAGCTAAAGTACACAATTGCATCATGTCCACATAAAATGTGTTCAGGCTTTCTTTCTTAACACTCCTAGTTGTTTTTCTTATGGTCACCAGCTAAATTGCATCATGTCCACATAAAAATGTGTTCAGGCTTTCTCTCTTAACACTCCTAGTTGTTTTTCTTATGGGTGTTGCTCCTTATATGACAACTCTCAGATAACAAGAATTGTCTATAAAGTTTGCCTGTTTGTTGTCAGCAGCCAAATGTTAGATATGACACACATCATTGTGTAATAACACTTGTAACGTGTTTTCTACCCCGCACGTGTACAACACAGAGACTCAGTATTGTAATAATTTTCATTTAGTAATAATTACAATGAGTGCTACTTTAGGCGTTGTGTCAGTGTGCATTAAACAGTGTTGTGTGGCTGCTATGTGCCGTCAAGTTAACTCTGACTATTGACAACCCTATGAATAAGCGATCTCTGAAATGTTCTGTCCTCAACTGACCTGTTCTACTCTTGTAGAATTAAGCCTGCGGCTTCCTTTAGGGAGTCAACTCACCTCACATTTAGTCTTCCTCTTTTCCTGCTGCCTTTAACATTTCCCAGCATTATTGGTTTTTTTTTCTCCAGAGAATCCTGCCTTTTCATGATGTGCTTAAAGTAGGGCACCTTCAGTTTCAACATTTTTGCCTCCAGAGATAGTTCAGGCTTGAATTGATCTAGGCTTTCACACCCTGTCTTTATGGCTCTCCAGGGTATCCACAAATCTCTCCTCCAGCACTATATTTCATATGAACCAATATTTTTCCTGTCAGCTTTCTTTATTGCCAATGTTTTTCCTGTCAGCTTTCTTTATTGTCCAGCTTTCACACCCCTACATGGTGTTCAGGAATACAAATTTTTATCTTGGTCTCTGGTGACACATCCTTAAGCTTGATTATTTATTTCTAATTCTTTCACTGCTACCCTTCCTAATTTCAGTCTTCTTCTGATTTCTTGACTGTAGTTTCTGTTTGATTAATAATTGAACCAAGGTATACAAAATCTCTGTTTCAATTTCTCCATTGTCAGTGTTAAAGTTGTGTAGTCCTGTTGTGTTAGAGAGTTTTTAACTGCTGAAAGAAAGGAAAATCCTGCTGAAATTTGTTGATGAATAAAAACTGAATGGCACCAAATGTGTTGATAAAACATTGTGAATAATACGACTCAAAGTGCTTGTTACATAACCCCAGCATGTGTTGCTGCTGAGCCTGGACCCCGACCCTAACTTTCCCCCCAGTCCTTATCTCACCTTGAAATTTTCACTTTTCCCCTGCATATGCAGGGAGACTTGAAAGGCAATCATTACGAAGATGATGATAACACAATGAAGATAGTGGGAAGCAATTGAAAACAACAACAGAGGCTCAGAATTCCTCATTGATGGAATGAAAAATCTGGTTTTAAATTGGTGCAAATGTATTGCAGTAGGGGAAAGAGATTATATCGAAAAAATACAATGCCACCATAAGATTAAAAAGGAATACTGCTTTTTTAAAAATTGAAAAAAAATCCATTTATCATCCAGGTATGAGTCAATAGGCAACATTTTTTTCTATCTGACCTTCACAATAATAGATTAGTACAGTGACTGCATGTGGACTCAGTGTCTGTATGAGGGATATAGCTTGTTATTTGGATCACACTAGGTACTGTTTGAATCAAGTTAAAGTGCCCACATATGTTTTGACTTACAGCAAGTAATCCAACCCCTTTTTAGAGCTGTCCCACTCATTTTGGGCACAGAGGTTGAGTTATAGGGGTTTTGCTTTGTTTTTTTTTGTTTGTTTTTTTTTTGGCACAGTTCAAAATGGGATGTTGGCAAGTCTGAGTCTTTGATAGCAAGTCCTGAGTCCAAAGCCCTAAGTCAAAGTCTTTATTAAAAACAAGCTTCCCCCCTCCCCAGAAAACAAGGAGGGACTGGATGGGTTCCGAGTCACAATTTGATACCGAGTCTTTTTTTTTGGGGGGGGGGGAGTTGAGTCCGAATTGGGTCACTGGTGCAACTTAAGTCCAACTTGACAGCAAGTCTCACAACTTGAGTCTCCATCTCTGCTCTGATTGTCCTGTTGTGTAGCTTATGCGAATGGTCATTTCACACCCAAATAAAGCTGTGGGTGGTGACAATTTTGTGACATATTTGACTGGTGGTGGCATTGAAACGGATGAAAGAGAACCACCACCTCCTCTATTTCCATTTACTGGACCTTTAAAAAAAAAATTCTTATCGATCCAGTGCTATTTTAGATAAGTGAAATACATTGGCTGCATTATGTGTAACGTGCTAGATAGATGCAGAAGGTCTACTTTGGCTATCCTCTTCTTGGATGCACATCTTAATGTAGGGAAGCGATTAGGGACTATAATGCAAAGTCTGGCTGAATAATATCAAGCAGACTCTGTGGAAAACCTATAAACATAACCATAATTCAAGTCTAGGCTCCAAGTACAGATATGAAAGGTGAAATTGAAAGCTTTTATGCACCTCTTAAATTTTCAGAGTCCCTGTCTTCTTGGCCCACAAGTTGCCCACATGCAGAGATGAACTTTCTGTAAAGAAAAGTGAGGTTTTAGGTGGTGAATTCTGACTTCATAGCTGTTCCAGCTGTGATCTTGTGCCAAATCTACTATTTTCCTTTAAATTTATTGTTTTTTCAGAGTGTTGTAATTCCCAGTGATGACACCAGAGGTAAAAGACAGATGTTGTTTCCCTCAGAGTGACAAAACCCGTAAAATTCTATGTAGGTGTGTGCAACCTGTTGAACTGCTGTGTGTACTGCAGGAAATTATTTGTGTGTTAATTTGTTATATTCTTATACTGCAGCATCTAGTGGCCTTTCCACTACTCTAGGTGGTTTTGTAACAAATAGTTTCTTCCTGTTCCTGCAAGTCTTTGCTTCCTCTTTCAGCTGCCTGGCTTGTGTTTCCTTCTGCCCTGGGGAGAGTAGCTGAAGATGGAACATGAACTTCTTTACCCCCATGAATCTTTTCTTCAGCCTAAACACACTAACCTCTTTTAGTCCATCCTGTTGTGTTTTCCACAATCTTGAGCATCTCTGTTGCCCTCTTCCCACCATTCTTCTTTTGTGTTTCTTCAGACAACAGTAAATTCCCCATGAAATTAGTTCAGGCAGAAGCTTCTGTTCTGCCTATCCTGCAATAAAGACTGACTCTTCATTCACCTTTCCTGCAATCTCCTTCTGTAGTTCACCTTTAGTCCTCTTATCATATCTGCTGGAGTGAATTCAAAAAGTGAAATTCAACAAGCCAGTAATAGGCACTAGTTAATATGATCCATAATCAGGGACGGACAGCAGTGCTGTGGGCTAAACCACAGAAGCCTGTGCTGCAGGGTCAGAAGACTAGCAGTCGTAAGATCAAATCCACGCGACGGAGTGAGCTCCCGTCGCTTTGTCCCACCTCCTCGCCAACCTATCAGTTTGAAAGCATGCAAATGCGAGTAGATAGATAGGTACCACCTCGGTGGGAAGGTAAAACGGTGTTCCCTAGTCATGCTGGCCATGTGACAACGGAAACTGTCTTTGGACAAGCGCTGCCTCTATGGCTTGAAAAACGGGATGAGCACCGTCCCCTAGAGTAGGACACGACTGGACTGAAAATGTCAAGGGAACCTTTACCTTTACCTTGTAAGCACCACACACATACAATGAAAGTTTAATTCAAAGTTGTGGTTTTAAACAAGACATCATCATCATCATGTGAATTGCATCCACTCTGGTTTCATGCAGTCTGATCCATCAAATATTCTATGATATATAGAGCACTGCTGTTATACAGCCTCTAAATTTGAACTGTGTTAAGTATCTTCTAAATGTGAGCTGTTAACTTCATCGCCCATAAGCATTCCCATAGACATCCATCTTTATCCTTCCCAGTGGACGACATCTTTGTTAGTCAGTGTTAATTGAAATCTAAATCTAAAATCTTAACTGGGATGTAAAGAAACCTCATCATCCTTTTTTTCCTTTTCCTTTTGCCTTTACTTTTACAGCTAATAGATGGGGCCAACACTTGAAAAACTTCAAAGGGGTTTGTGAGTAAAGACTTTTCATCAGTGAAGCACCACATCCGAGTTCTAATCTTTCATGCCTTCTGACGCAGGGACATCAAACAAGTCCAAAGAGAATTGGAATGCTCCAAAGCAGCATTGTGCCTTCTCCTTTCTCCCCCTACCTTTGCTTTCTGTGGGTGTAAACTATACACTTACGGAACCTCCACAAAATTAAAAAGCGGAAATAATGATTTACATAAGTTATAGTTTAATAAACATGATCCTTGCACCCAGTTTTTCTTCTTACCAAAAAAGAAGAAGAAGAAGAAGAAGGGGGGTTGAGAAAGGTGGTTGTATAGTTCAAAAGTAATATCCAGAGCTCAAAGGACTGCTGCAAGAAAATGAAAAAGAATTAGGAAGTGTCTTATGTATAAGCCTTCAAAGCAAAGGCAATCAATTTATGTTTCATTCTTACTTACTTGAATGTCGTTTGCATATTTTATTGTTTCTGTCATCTTTCCTGTTACAATCCATCCAAGGAGTTCTCAAAGAACATTAAGTCCTACAAATAAATAAACTGTGAATGATGAAGAAGATACAAAAAGGCAACAATTAATATCAAAAGGCTGACTTGTACAGTTTCATTTCCTTTTTAAAAAGAATATTATTATAGAATAGCGGTTCTTCTGTTCAGTGCCTTTGAGCAAAGAGCGTTTTGCAGTGCAAGAAACGAGCGAGTTCAAAGTCACGGGATAATAATTTTTTGCTGGCTTTGTTGGTTTAAAAAGATGGATAACAACTAGATCATTCTGCACTTCTCTCATTTTTTCTGGGAGGGAAAGGAGGGAAGGAGAGTAACTAAAAAGAAAGTTCCTTGTTTTACCATCTCTTTACCTCCCAGCTGTATTTTGAAATGAATACATGACATTTTGGAAGCCTGCACAGCGCATGGAGTGCCATGCACAGTGGGAAGCAGGTATCTCAATGCAGGCAAAAACTCATGGGTTTTGTTTGCTCTAGACTGCGCCACAGCAAAGTGCTGTAGCTTACTGAGAGGATTTGTCAACACTTCAAATTATAGTGTTAGATGTTTACCTATCCCGGTCCAGAATGTTAAGTAACTTTGAAAAACCAGATGCTAGAGTCTTTGAATAGAGTACAAGCTTCAACCAATGTTGTGAAATGACAGATTTTTCACAGTGCAAGGCCCTGAGATACAAAACAAACCTTCTTTCAGAGGATTCAGTAGTACTGACTACTGAGACGTTTTGCTCTCCCCATCAAAACTCTGAAAAGAAGCAAGTGGAAGGATGCACTCCATGACTAAGGTCTAGGACAAGAGCGGAGAACTCGAATTACATGATGTACCAGCCCCCAAAATAGCAAGAAGTGGGGGTGGAGGAATCGCACTACTTGTCAGAGCATCTTACCCCAAGGTTAACCACCCATCCCACCAGATCCTCCCAGGCCTTGCCCTCCAGGTGGCCACTCCAAGAGAGGCCAGGAAGTCAGCCACAAGGGGCTGGGCCTTCTTTGCCATGGCAACTACACTATGGAACCAGCTGCTGGTGGAGCTGTGCCTGGCTTCCTCCCTTCTAACAGTCAAAAGGCTTATGAAGACTTTTCTATCTAGAGAAGCCTTTCCATGCTATCCATACTGACCTTAGACCTCTTGTCCTGTTCCCTCGTTTAGAAAATATGCCTCTTATACATTTAGAGGTATGTGTTCTTATTTGAATCAGGAATTGGTGAATATCTATTCTACATTTTTTTAAATGATATTGTTAACCAGCCAGAATAGTAGTATGCATTAATAGGGTGGGGTGGGTAGGTAGGTAGGTAGGTAGGTAGGTAGGTAGGTAGGTAGGTAGGTAGGTAGGTAGGTAGGTAGGTAGGAAGGAAGGAAGGAAGGAAGGGTGGATATGGGCTCCTACTGTAAAGTGTGCCAGAAAGTGGGAGAGGGAGGGAGGGAGGGAGGGAGGAAGGAAGGAAGGAAGGAAGGAAGGAAGGAAGGAAGGAGTGGCCATATGTCCATCTCCTTTTTTATTTTGGGGTTCAATGGAGCTTTGGGTGGCTTAGGAAATGCCTCCCCTCACTCCCTGACTAAGACCAAAAGGAAAAATGCTGTTCCTAGAGACCTCAAGGAGCAGAAATCCCAGTTTTCAGCATCGTTTGCCTTTGGGACTCTGGACAGATGTTGGGGGCTGCAAAATATTTTCTAGTGTGGCTTGTGGTGCATGTTGCATTTTGTCTATCTGGCTTAGTTCAAGGTGGAGAACACATGGCCCTCCAAATGCTATTGGATCAGAACTAGAGACGGGGACAAACCAGTTTGTCCTAGTTCATCCCAGTTTGTAAGGCAGCAATAGAAGTGCTGCTGCTCCCCTCCCCTCCATGATGAACTGGTCCGTGCCCATCTGTAATCAAAACCACATTAATGAGGTAGATTAATGGTGGAACCCAATGGGACACGTAAGGTCAATACAGGAATTCATCCCCTGCTTTTAAAAGACACTTCACACCGGGCTCATTCTTTCTGACTATTAACTATGTACAAAGAGTGTATGGATCATGAGGTTGGCAGCCTTCAAGTTGTGAAGTCTCAGCACGCTGGCTGAAATTCCAAAGAACTGCCATGTGTCTCCAAGGAGGGAGACAGAATGGAAGGCATTCAGCACTAGAGAAGAAAGTTTGATTCTAAAAATCTGAGCAGCTGTCTCTATTGATTTCCACCTTTTACCAGGTGCCATTGGCTCAGTGGTGAATGGGTTTGTATGTGCATTATGCTTATGCACTGTTTTGTGGACCATCAAGCCAGAAGTGAGAAGAGAAGGCTGGGGAGTAGGTACCTACACTAGGTCCTATTGTGTTGTATTTGAAGATCCCAAGTCTTGGCATCAGTGTAAGAGGGTAAGGGAAGCTTCAAGCAACAGCACCAATGTTATTGTTGTCATGTGCCATGAAGTCAGAACTGACTAATAGTGTTGCTAACAGGCTTTTAAAGTTAAATGAAGTATTTAAGGAATAGTTTTACCTGTTCCATCTCCCAGTGAGTTTTCATGGTAGAGCTGGGGAACTGAACCCAGATCTCCTTAGTCCTAGTCCATTACTCTATCCCCTACAACACACTGGTACCTAAGGACATCAGTGATGAGCTCTCAACTAGGGTCCATTACTCTATCCCCTACAACACATTGGTACCTAGCATCAGTGTAGGGCTTTGAAAAACTTCTCATATGTCATGTGTGCTGTGAGTAAGGTAAGGACATCAGTGATGAGCTCTCAACTAGAAATGGCAGCAACTGCTGATGCTGCTGGGTGTTTTTTTCTGCCTGCCTGGCTGCTAAAAAGTCTCCCTCTTCTCTGGGTTGCCATGTTGGCTTGTTAGCTGGTTTTTACCCAGATTCCAGGCCTTTTGTCCTGGATTCTCCTGGTGTGTTTTCTATAATTAGCTGTCCCATAGGCAATCTCTGCCTCTTCCCAAATCTCCTCCCCGCCACATACTCCTGTAGCATCATGAGGATTCCCCCTCCCAAACTTCACAAGGAACTGCCCTGCTGCCAGACTGATCTCAGATTGAGCAACTGAAATCTCAGGGATGAGGATACTACTGACTAATGGCAACCATAATACTGATACTCCTTCCATCACATGCCCAGGAATTACTTCAAGTAGCTTCTAGACAATAATGGGGGACTTTGTCCCTCTTCATTAAAGAAACGGGTGCACAAGTAGCACTGTTAAGATGTATGCGTCTTGGAATGTTTCTCTATGTGTCATGGAACATATAACTGAAGCTGCCTCTGTACATCTCACCTAAATGTGAATGTTTCTCCATTTAGTTGTGTATGACGTACCAAACTATATGTAGGAATTGGCTTCCAGGAACTATGATGAGACACAAGCTAATGTCCTATGGCTAACGTCCAGTTGGTGTAGCTCCACCATGTGAATTGCAATGATATCATGACCCAGGAACATTAATCCCTACTTTAATTCAGTTTAATATTTCCTATTCTTCTCCTTCAGGTTCCAAGGCTCCCTTGGGATTCCTTTTGCCCTGGGAGCTTCAGGTTATAGGAAGGAAGCCTTTAATATATATATATATAAAAACTCACCACTGTTCTTAATGATTATTTGCCGTTGATAATGCTTAACATTACCAGATGATGACATCATCACCATTTATGTCTGGTGGAGTTGCACAATGGGATTTGAGTCACTTAATTAATTTTTGGGTTTGGAGGTAGGAAGCCCAGATTCAAGTGCGAGTTCATCATAACCCAGTTCACAGGATTGCTGTAAAGGTAGAACATCACCCTAAAGGTCATAGAGGATGAGTGTGATCAAAAGTAGGAAGACAGAGCCTTTTCTAGCATATACTTACTAGGAGGAAGCAAGCACCAATCATGACAGCCTTGATTTTTACATCAAGATCTACAGGAACCTGAATACCAAAATTGGCTGTATTGGTAAAGATGTTATTGACAAATCCAGACCAATACTTGGAAATCTTGCCAATAGTTGACATATCATTTAGAGATTTTACCTGTTTTAAAAAAGAAAAAAGACAATGTCATAAGAGGATTAAAAGAAATGCAAGGCCAACATGCTTCAAATATGTTGTTTTGGAAGAGGTAGCTGTGTTAGTCTTGCAGCATATCAGGCAAAATGCAAAGAAGCAAACTTTGCCCAGGTCTGGTGTCTGTTTTCTGCCTCCTTATGAATTTTTACAACAGAGGCCCAAAACAATAGAAGCCATAAATTATTGTGTGTAAATGTAACATACACACAAGAGCCAATCAATATTTAGTATGAAATTGATATTTCATTCAACATTTAATTCTGTTTCCATATGTCTGATGAAGTGGATGTGTTCATGAAAGCTCATGTTAAAATACCATAATTAATCTTTAAGGTGCCATATGTTTTTGTCGTTAAAATACCGTAATTAATCTTTAATTGTTTTTGTCTTTTTTTAAAAAAATCTTGTTTTGTTCTGTTTCTTTGGAGTTTCCCTGATATACTTCAGACGTGTGTCTGGAGAAGTGGCAATGTGGATGGCTGGGTTTAATGTATTTACTGCCCTCTGTCAGACTGCAAAACACTTGAGATGGCCTTGGTTATGATGGGTTGTGTTCACATTGTGCTATGAAAATGTAATACAACATCATAACACTATTAGCAGCATTAGTAAGGAAAAATATTTTATTTTACATTACCCATAGTGTTGCCTCATTCATCTGGAGCATTTCCAAAACAAGGAAAATTCTAATGCCAAGGAATGCTGTTCAAAGTACCTCAAAGTCAACATCTCCAAAGCAACCACATGTTGCATAAGGGCCTATGATCTTCAATACATCTTCATTACTCTCATTCCTGATAGTGAATTTAGGCAGCAGAGGGTCCCATTTCTGCACAACATAGCCAACGGTGGTCCCAGGAGGAGACTGAACCTCTACCTATTGGACGTTTTAGAATAGATAAGTGATAAAATAACACAGGGCTTATGACAATAGTTGCTATGGGTTTCAATGCTAGCATATCTGTACTATAAACTCTATTGAGGCTATATAAGATCTTCTGCTACCCAAACTGTAAAACAAAGAGTCATCTCCCATTGCACAGAAACCAGAGTTGACACTATGCCATGCTTCCCATCTCGCACAAAAATAACAGTCAAATCTCTCCAACAGATGCAGTGGCCCTTCTACAGGTAATATTTTTGGCCACCTCTTCCACTTGTTTTGTTTTTGAGGACCCTTCAGAGCCATTTCTTCCTAAAAATTGATGCAGCTAGCATCATCAGAAGCTAAACGGAAAGCTGTAGAGTACAGAAAAAAGCTAAGGATTTTGGTGGTGTATGAGAACTGTAACCATTGGTCCTCGGTGTGGTGAAGGACTACATAGCTGAGTTCATGCTATCTGGAGAAGCTAAAACATGGGCGTCCTTGCCATCTCTACTACTCTGTTGCTTGAGTAGCTACAGTACCTCAATTTGGCTGATATTAAGACTGGCCCTGAATAGTATTATACAGAATATGCACTACAGCCATATTCCGGTGTCTCACCGTGCTGTAACAAACATACCAAAAGAGAAGCACTTAGCTTGACCCGCCACCATCAGTTTCTTCACAAGGAAAGCAGCAGCTCTACAGAGCAAAACTCCCTGTTTGTATGGAGCCCTTCTCTGTGAGGAAAAATGCGTGGACTACCATGCTTCACATAAACCTTCCTTTTCACTCTCCGCATTTTTCACATGATTGGGGAGGGAAGGGCTAGGTACTCCCTCATTCATTCATTGATAGTGAGTGAAAACTGAAGGGGTCTTGGTGTGTTCACATGTTACATTCTACAGTTGTTGTTTAGTCGTTAAATTGTGCCCGACTCTTCAGGGGATTTTCCAGGGAGTCTTCTCTTCTTATGAGATGGCCAAAGTATTGGAGCCTCAGCTTCAACCCTGGAGCACTCAGGGTTGATTTCCTTTAGAATGGACCTGTTTGTTCTCCTTGCAGTCCAGGGCGCTCTCAAGAGTCTCCTCCAGCACCAAAATTCAAAAGCATCAATTCTTTGGCGGTCAGCCTTCTTTATGGTCCAGCTCTCACTTCCATACATCACTACTGGAAAAACCATAGCTTTGACTATGCAGACCTTTGTCGGCAAGGTGATGTCTCTGCTTTTTAAGATGCTGCCTAGGTTTGTCATCACTTTCCTCCCAAGAAGCAAGCATCTTTTAATTCCATGGCTGTTGTCACCATCTGCAGTGGTCATGGAGCCCAAGAAAGTAAATATGTCACTGCCTCCATATCTTCTCCTTCTATTTGCCAAGAGATGATGGAACTAGTGGCCATGATCTCAATTTTGTTTGTTTGTTTGCTGTTGAGCTTCAGACCATTTTTTTGCACTCTCCTCTTTCACCCTCATTACGAGGTTCTTTAATTCCTCCTCACTTTCTGCCATCAGAGTGGTATCATCTGGATATCTGAGGTTGTTGATATTTCTTCCGGCGGTCTTAATTCTGGCTTGGGATTCCTCCAGTCCAGCCTTTCACATGATTTATTCTGCATATGAGTTAAATAAGCAGGGAAACAATATACAGCCTTGTCGTACTCCTTTCCCAATTTTGAACCACTCAGTTGTTCCATGACCAGTTCTAACTGTTGCTTCCTGTCCCACATATAGGTTTCTCAGGAGACAGATAAGGTGGTCAGGCACTCCCATTTCTTTAAGGACTTGCCATAGTTTGCTGTGGTCCACACAGTCAAAGGCTTTTGTGTAGTCAATGAAGCAGAAGTAGATGTTTTTCTGGAACTCTCTGGCTTTCTCCATAATCCAGCGCA